CCATAACCAAAGTAAAACTACACCCAAATATATAATTATCACCATCCCAGAAATCCAACAAAAGAATAGAATATTAAAAGCTGTCAGAGAGAAAACACAGATCAACTATAAAGGAAAACCTATCAGAATCACAATAGACTTCTCAGCACAAATAGTAAAGTCAAGAAGAACATGGAGTGAAGTATTTCAGATCCTAAAAGGAAATGATTTACATCCTAGACTGATGTACCTTGCAAAACTGTCCTTCAAAATGCATGGAGAAATAAGATACTTCCATGACAAGAATAGCTGAAGAACTTCATGGTCACCAAGCCAAATCTGCAAAGAATACTGAAAAACAGTTTAGATATACTTAGGGAAAACCCACTAAGCAAAGCAAATAATTAAGCAGACAGAAAGATAAAGATGCAACAGCAGAAAGATAACATGTCAACAACAAACCAACATATAACAGTTATAAACATTAATGTAAATGGTCTCAATGCACCAATTAAAAGAAGCAGACTGGGAGAATGAATCAAGAAACAACATCCAACAATATGCTGTCTACAAGAAACCCATCTAACCCAAAAGGAAACTCACAGACTGAAAGTCAAAGGATGGAAAACAATATTTCATCCAATGGGATCCCCTCCAAAAAGCAAGGGTAGCTATTCTGTTTGCAGACAATTTGAACTTCAAACCAATAATGATCAGAAGAGATAAAGAAGGTCATTACATATTGGTTAGGGGAAAACTTCAAGAGGAAAAGATAACAATCTTAAATATGTATGCAACAAATTCCAGAGCTCAGATGTGAATACATGTTATATAAAAAATGTATTCTGTTAATACATGTTATATAAAACATGTATTAACAGAAATGGAAAACCAAATTAACAGTAACACAATTATAACAAGAGAACTTTAAACACCATTGACACCAAGGGACAGATCAACCAACAGAAAATCAGTGAAGAAATAACAGAACTGAATCACAGCTGTGAACAAGTGGACTTGATAGACATATAAGATTGTTCCATCCAACAAAATCACAATACACATTCTTCTCAGCAGTGCATGGGTCATTCTCTAAAATAGACCATATATTAGCTAACAGAACATATTTAAATAGATGCAAAAGAGTTCAAATTATCCCTTCGATGTTATCGGATCATAGTGCCATGAAATTAGAAAGTCATGATAAAAGATACTGCAAAAATTCCAAAAACACATGGAAACTGTATAACACACTCTTGAGTAATCAGTGGGTCACAGGGGAAATTAAAGAAGAAATTAAACAATACCTACAAGCAAATGAAAATACAAATACAACTTGGAATTATACAAGAAATACTATGAAAGTTTAAATTAACACTCCTCAAAGTGTTCAATGAAAAGAAAATAGAAGCAATTTTTCTGAAGTCATTCCTGGAAGCAAATATTACTCTAGCACCAAACCTGAGAAAGACCCAACTAAAAAAGAGAACTACAGGTCAATATCCCTAATGAACACAGATGCCAAAATGCTCAATAAAATAATGGCAAATGTAATGCAGCAAATCATCAAGAAGATTATGCACCTAAGTAGGATTCACCCCAGGCATGCAGGGATGGTTCAACATATACAAATGAATAAACATAATCCACCACATCAATAAAGCCAAGAGTAAGAATCACATGATCATTTCTACAGATGCAGAAAATGCTTTTGATAAGGTTCAGCATTCATTCATAACAAGAACCTTAAGAAAATTGTAATAGATAGTCTTTACCTCAATAAAATAAAGGCCATCTATGACAAACCAACAGCCAGTATCATATTAAATGGCCAAAAACTGAAGGCCACTATCTTAAAATAAGACAAGGATGTCCCTTATCACCACTCCTATTCAACATAGTACTGGAAATACTAGCCAGAACAATTAGACAAGAGGGAGAAATAATAGGAGTAAGGATAGGAAAAGAGGAAATTAAATTATCATTATTTGCAGAAGACACAATATTCTACATAGAAAACCCCCAAAAGTCATTTGAAAGTCTCCTAGATATAATAAATATATTCAGCAATGTAACTGAATACAAAGTCAATACTCAAAAATTGATACCATTCCTATACACTAACAACAAACTCCCTGAGCAAGAAATTAAAGAAGCCACACACTTCACACTAGCATATAAGAAATGAAATACTTAGGAATTAATATCACATAAGAAGTAAAAGATGTGTATATGGAAAATTATAATACCCTGAAAAGGAAATTGAAGAGGATCTCAGAAAATGGAAAGACATCCCTTGTTCATGGATAGGAAGAATAAATATTGTGAAAATGGCCATTATCCCAAAACTGTTACACAGATTTAATGCAATCCCAATGAACATACCATCAACATATCTCATGTATCTAGAGAAATCACTCCTAAAATTCATCTGGAACCAGAATAGACCTAGAATAGTAAAGTACAATTCTAAGCAGCAAAAGGCAAGGCAGGAGGCATGAAAATTCCTGACTTGAAATTATACTATAATGCTACTGTAATAAAATCAACATGGTACTGGAATCAAAACAGAGACAGAGATCAATGGAATAGATTAGAAGATACCACCAGAACTACAAATACACTCAACCACCTTATCTTTGATAAAGGGGCCAAATATATTCACTGGAAGAATGACAGTCTCTTTAATAAATGGTGTTGGGAAAACTGGCTCTCCATATGCTGAAAACTAAAACTAGACCCATGCCTATCACCATGTACTAAACTAAAATTTAAATGGATCAAATATCTGAATATTAAAACAGAAACACTTAATCTGTTGGAAAAAAATTTGGATAAAAATCTCAAAGACATAGGGGTAGAAACAGAATTCATGAACAGGACTCAAACCGCACCAGAAATACTTCCCAAAATCATTAACTTGGATCAGGTCTTATTAAAAACTTTCTCCATGTCAAAAGAAATCTCCAGAATAGTGAAAAGAAGTCCCACAAACTGGGAAAAATCTTAGCGAACTGTCCCTCTGACAAAGGACTTCTGTCTAAAACATAAAGAATTTAAAAATATCACACCCCTGAAATTCAAAGACTCAATCCAAAAATGGGCATCTGTAATGAATACAGTTCTCAGTAGAAGAAATACAAATGACAAATAAATACATGAAAATATATTCATCATCATTACTCATTAGAGAAATGCAAATTAAAACCACAGGGAGATTCCATCTCACTCCAGAAAGAATGGCCAGGATCAAAAATCTACCAACAACAAATGCTGGAGAGGCTGTGAGAGAAAAAGAACTCTCCTGCTCTGTTGGTGGGAGTGTAGACTGGTGTAACCATTGCGGTGGTCAGTCTGGAGATTCCTCAAAAAGCTGGGATTGGAAGTCTCATTCAACCCAGCTATTCCACTTCTAGGCATATTCCCAGAAGAGCTGAAACATCACACCACACTGATATATTTGCACCCATGTTTATAGCAGCACAATTTGGAATAGCCAGATCTTGGAAACAACCTAAGTGTCCATCAACAGAGGCATAGATATAAAATTGTGGTATTTTTATACAATGGAGTACTAGTCAGCTATAAAGAATGATCACCTTGAGATATTTACAAATAAATTGATTCAACTGGAGACCACACTCATAAGCAAAATAAACCAGATTCTCATGTATAAATACCATATTGTTTCCCTGCTGTAAGTAATAGTAAGAGTACATAAAAGTTTATGGTAACATGATTCCCCATTACATTGCTTTTAAGCCTTATAATGTTTTCACTCATTAGTTGGAATGATTTTATCCTGGGTTGTTTGATTTATCTGTAATGGATGAGCAGCTATTTTGAAGAAAACAGGACATTATAATAGCCAATGCTGATTTAATATCATCTTGTTTTGAAGTCCTACCATACTTTTTTTCTTCTGTTTCCATTGGTTCTACCATGTTGTATCTTAATGGATTTTATTGTATATGGTAGTATAAACAAATCTTTTATGGACAATGAGAAAATATAGTAACCATTGTTCATTTTGTGTTATTCGGTTCTGAATGCCCCATAATATTTTCATTCTCTTTAATGGTTTTATACTATTTTGTTCTGTTTGCTACTATTATGTATGAGGGTACGCTCAGCTATTTCAAGGAAAGGGACATTATGGTAGCTACTGCTATATCGGGTTGTCTTTGATGAAATACAGTGTTGCTTAAATTGTTCTGTTGTGATATTCTTTGTTATGCCCTGTTTTATCTTAATCCCTTTAAAATAAAAAAAAATTTAAAAGAGTTTATGCCTATATTGTTTGGTCAATTATGCATATGTATATTTTGTAATTCAAGAAAAAGGAGATAAAAGGAAGGGAAAATATATTAATTTGTATAAACCTCCTTAAGATAATTAAGATGACTGTGCTCCTCGTTCTATTAATTCTTGGAACAGAACAGTTGACATTCATAGGACTGGATCAATTTTGCATGTTAGTGTCAGGGAACCTGAGTAACTCTTTTGAAGATTACTATGTAAAATAACAACCTTAGTTATATTGCTACCACCTTGTTTTGAAGGCCTATATTGTCTGTGTTTTGGTCTCTTTGCTATTGTTATTTATTTTTGTTTTTGTTTCTCATTTTTCTAGTAACTTGTTTTGCTTTGTTTCTTCTTCCCTCTAATGCAGAAAGGACAGATATAAATATAGAGGTTTATACATGCCTAAACTTCTTCTAATTAATTTACAAGAACTGATTGCATTATACATGATGATATGAACTACTTTGAATAAAAAAAGACATTATGGTAGCCATTGCTGATTTCCTGTCATCATGCTGTTCAGTCCAGTAATGCTTTTATTCTTTGTTCAGAATGGTTTTCATCTGTTTTGTATTCTTTAACTTCAATATATATGAAGGTATGAACAGCTATTTTTAAGAGAATAAGAGACATTGTAGTAACCATTGTTGATTTTCATATTGTTTGGTTCTGAAGGCCTGTAATGCCTTCAGTCTTCTGTTTTGATCAGTCTTTTACTATTTCATTTTGTTTTGAATTTGTTTGTGTGAACATACAGACAACTATTTAGAAGAAAACAGGTGATATTATGGTAGCCATTGTTGATCTCTTATTGTCTTGCTTTGAAATACATGTCACTTGCATTGTTTCCTTGTGATCTGCTTTGTTTTGTTTTGTTTTACCCTCTTTAAGATAAAAAGTATTGGTGAGCTAGGAAGAGAATCAGCCAGCATCTTCTGAGATCCAGCCATGGTGGAACTTAGGGGGCTGAGGAACAAAGCAAAATGCCTCCCTACCTGGTAAGGTTCCCTGGCGTGAACCAGTAATTGAACTAGTCAGTGTCTCCATGAGCCTACAAGAGTGCAGGTGAGAATCAAATTTCCACCCACCCACTTCCAGGTAAGCAACTAGGGGCCAGAGATCTGAACATCTCTTGGGAGGAAGACCATATGCAATGTAGCAAATATGAAGGATTGCCTTCTATCTCTTCTATTTGAAGGAAAATATTGTTTTCACTGTTTTGCTTTGTTCTGACTAAATGATTTGCTCTAGTCAGTATTCCCTTTCAACTGGTTTTATAATGTTCTGTTTTGTTTTGATTTTGCTATACCTGATTAAATGGACAACTATAGTTAAGACAATGAGATATACTGTAGTACTTACTACTGCTATCCCTGCATCCTGTGAAATTCTGTACCAATTTCATTGCATTGTCTTAACTGGCTTTGTTCTGTCTCATTCTGTTGCATTTTACTACCTTCAAAATAAAATAAAAATTAAATAATTGTCTGTGCTTATATTGTTTGATCAAATATGCAAACCTACATTCTTTAATCTGAGTAACTCCTTTGAAGATAAATATACCCAATAAATTTAGCATTGCTATTTTCCTATTATCTTGTTTTGAAATTCTGTATCACTGTTTTATTGTTTTATCCTCTCTAAAATAAAAAAGTGCCTTTAGTATTTCTTGGAGGATAAAATAAATCGCTATATGAAAGTTCTCCTCCTTTATTCATCTGAGAATGTTTTAAATTTTCCTGTGTTTTGCTGGGCGCAGCATTCTTGGTCAAATATTTTTCCCCAGCAAGTTGAATGTGTCATCTTGTTGCTTCCTGGGTTCTAGATTTCTATTAAGATAGCAACTAAATCAAGTCATGTCTTCATTATTTATTTTGTCAGGCTATTTCAGAAACTTCTGAATTATCCTGTTTTTGTTCTCTTCCTTCTTCAATCAATTCAGAATGGTAGCCCTTGCAATCTTGTTAAAAATGTGCATTATTATTTCATGGTTCAGCCTTTCAAATATTTTCCATCTTACTCACTGTAAAAGTAAGGGATTTCCAGTGGTCTGAATTACAGATGGCAATGAACCAATCTCATGGCCTAATATCTACTGGATCTCAGCCCTCCTGTCCCAGTTTGTCTGATCCTTTACAATAGCTCTCTTGCATCATCAGGACTTTTGCATATGTGACTTGTGGACAGAGATTTGTACTGGATATAAACATTCTTTGTGGTCTCAACTATTGTATGATCTACATTCTACTTCAGACATGAGGAAGACCTTCCTGCACAAATAATATATGAATGATAAAGATAAAAAAATGAAGAACATGTCATGTTGAATACTTGATACTTCAGCATTGTTCAATACATTTGCATAGTCTGTGAAGCAGCTTCACAGTTCTGTCATATATAGGGAGTCATTTCATCAAAGCTTAAAAAGAAAATTTGTTTTCTTCCTCTCCCCTTCTATTCCCTAAACTTCACTGATTCTCTTTTTTCTCCTCTTTTCTCTTTCTGTTTCTACTACTCTCTCTCTCTCCCATCTTCCATTCCTTTGTTTTCCTTCCTTCCTTCCTTGCTTTTTTTCTTCCTTCCTTCTTCCTTGTTTCATTTCTTGTATCTCTCAGTGTTACCCAGACTAGCCTCAACTCCTGGGGTCAAGCCATCTTCCTGCCTTTGCCTCCCAGGTACTTGAGAACTCAAGGACAGCCTACAGCACCATTTTCTTTAAACACGTCCTCCAATGGTTTGAAGAGCCCAGATGTGAGGGAACACTAATTTACTGGATATATATATATATTCACAAGGTTTTAATAGCATTTACTACATTCTAGTTGTGTTGGGGCTGGGGATATGACACAAATAGTGCTCCAAGTGGGGGAGATTAGAAGAAGAAAAGAGGTAATTTATAAGAGGGTTCCAAATCTTAGGCTACAGTATAAGCACAGGGTGTCAAAGAAACACATAGGGGCAGTCAGTGGGCTTGGGATTTGAAGAGGGAGGCAGGGCCTTGCTGAGATTTATAGCATAACTGGTGGGATGCACATAAGAATTTAGTTAGCTGTAAGGCATCTGCTCTGGAATGTGGGATTTAGACTGACCAGTTTTCAGATGAGAACACTTAATTCATTGCTTTGGAAAAGCATAGAAAGTTAATTTGGATATGGTTACTTCATGAAAGACATTATGACACCCAAAGCCCATGGTACCTGGTGTTTGTAATCCAGGACTCATCCCTACCTGGGAAGGGCAGGCTTGTGGTGGGAGTGTGTGAGTTTATTTTGATTTCATTTCCTTTATTACTTCCAAGCATGTAAATAATGAAAAAGGAATGCATGCCTATACTGCCAACAAATTTATTTTTCACTTTCTTTCTGTGACATGAAAGACCACTTTACTTTATGATATGCTGATCAGATTCTTTCCAAGTCATTTGTTTCTTAGTAGAAACAGAAAGAATAATTAGAAATGATTGATGAATAGGGTTTATTTGGTATTCAAACATTTTGAAAGAAGAGATGGGAGGGAACTACTGTCTGTTGTGTCAGAAGATTTGACACAACTCTCTTCCTGAGTCTCTGCATGGCTGACTTCATCTCCTGGTTCCGCAGGGTGTAGATTAAGGGGTTGAGCAGAGGGGAGATGACTGTCAAGGTAACATGGATGGGCTTATCTGTGGGGAGAGCAGAGAAAGGCCGGGCATAGATGTAGATGCAGGGCACAAAGTGCAGGGTCACCACGGTGACATGAGAGGTGCAGGTGGAGATGGCTTTCTTCCTGCCTTCCCCTGCCTGAGCTCTTATTAATAATAATATGATAAAATAGGAAAGCAGGAGCAAGAAAAACCACAGTGTGGTGAGCAGCCCATTATTGGAAATCATCAGCATTTCAAGAACAAAAATGTCTGTAGAGGCGAGTTCGAGGACCTGCTGGACATCGCAGTAGAAAGTGTCAAGCACGTTGGATCCACAGAATGGAAGAGGGAGAAAGAGGGCGATCTGAACGATGGAGTGGACAAAACCTGACAACCAGCAAGCCACTATTAACCCAGTGCAAGCACCTGTACTCATGATGGTCACATAGTGCAGGGGCCTGGAGATGGCCATGTACCGATCGAGTGCTATCACTGACAGAGTAGCCACATCCATGCCTCCGATGAGGTGAAAGAAAAACATCTGAACCAGGCATCCATTGAAGGAGATGGTCTTGCTCTCAGAGAGAAGGTCTACTAGCAGCTTGGGAGTCGTGATGGAGGAGAAGCAGATATCGGCAATAGATAGATTGCGGAGCAGGAAGTACATGGGGGTGTGAAGGCGAGACTCCCAGGTCACTGTGACCATGATGAAGAGATTTCCCAGCAGAGTTGCCACGTACAGCAGAAGCAGCAGAAAAAACAGGAACCAGCTCATTGCTCGATCCATGGTTAGGCCAAGGAATACAAATTCTCTTACTCTGGTGCAGTTTTTCATGTCTGTGTAAGCATCTTCTATTTTGCTGTTTGTTTCCAAGCTGTGTGATAGGAAGCACTGGTGCCTGTGTTTTCTTGTTCCCCTCTTCCTGTAGGGTGGAGTCCAGATGGTTCCACCAAGAGGGTCAATCATCCATATTTGTAAATTGGCAATCAGTTTGGTGATTAAAATGACATTGTCTGTACAAAATTGTACAGTAATTATTTTCTAATAAAACTATGCTGAAAAAGAAAGTATTTAAGTAGATCTTACAACTTCCAAGGTATAATTTAAATAATCTACACATAACAAGGTTACTTTATAAGGCTGAACATTTCTTGTGAATGGCTCTCTTTCCTCTTTATGAAGAAGTGATGTTTATTTCTTTTTCCAGTTGCAGAATTGATATTCAAAAGGCTCACTTTCCCAAACTGGCAACAGGAGTATGTTTTGGATCTGGAGTTCAGATGTGATTCTGTTTATCTTTCAAGCCTATATAATGTCTGCTATATCACACACACATTATGGAACAATACAATGGATTGGAATTATTTTGTCTCAAAGGTTGCAGTAAAAGTCCCTGAGAAACCATCATGGATGAGCTCCCACATAGAGCTGCCATTAGCATGGGTTCAACCCAATGCCTAACATACCTGCAGCTTCTTTGATGAAGCTGTGCAGCTGGAAGTCAAGTTAGTAACATAAACCAGACTCCCCAACATTGGGCTCGATTGTATTCCTGATACTGTGTTTATCTGGCATGAAAAAGCACACCCATTGCATGGGTGCTTTAGTCCGTCAGCTTGCATTCTGTGATTTTTATGATATTGATGGGATCGAGCTAGTGCTAGAAATATACACACAAGCATAGCAAAACTTTTTCTCAAGAGCAATTTTTAGCCTGATGGAAAATAAAAACATTAACATGTAAACATGCATGGGGCACAAACAGAACAGTGCTCTGTGTAGTGTTCCTAGGGAAGACTTCCCAGTGGAGGAAAGAATTTCATTCAGGTTTGGTGGATTTCCAAGCAATATAAACAAGATTCATTCCCTTGAAGGAAAGAATTTATTTAATTATTTATATATTTTTGGTACCAGGGATCGAACTCATGATCTTTTGCTTGCCAGGCAGAGTCTTGTGCATCTCAGCTAAATCCATGGCTCAAGAGGCAAACAATTTAAAAGCAACCAGTCAGTGGTGAAGATATCAAGATTCTACAGAGAACATTGGAAAATGTCATGTGATTGGCACAATGTAGATGTCTCAAGAATGAAAGGAAACTTTTATTAATTAGAGACCTCAATAACAGATATTATTACTTTCAGTGATTCTTAGGTGTTGTTGCTATATGATTGGTATCAGCGTATGGTCCTTGTTCTCATATTCAGGTGTGTGGAAAACAAGAATTCCTCCATGGTGACTGTGGGCTACTGCTTCGGACCTTGTCTCTCAATGTGGGTTCGAGTTCCTTGTTTTGTATGGCACGAAATATTTTGCAAAGAGGTAATGGAGAGCTATGGTTCTTGCATCAGCACAGGGGAGAGGAAAGCTTTCCTCCAAGAGGGAGCTCATGGAGGTCACATTTTTTTTCTGCCCTGTTTCCTCTTTGCAACAAGGCAAGAGGCTGGGGGATTTTAGGGTTGTGAGAAGCAGTGGTATCATCAGAAAACTGGGTGTTGTGTGCTATTTTTGACTGACTGAGTCAAGGAAACTTAATTATTCTATTGCTTGTTCGAACCTACACAGAGCTCATAAATTTTATTGTGATTGTCAAATATATGTAGATAAACAGATTGAAATAAGTCAGACAATAAGACAAATAGTATGGGTTCTTTCTCTTATGTAAAAGCTAAACTAAGTGACCTGAGTGTAGGATAAGAATAAAGAGAGTTAGGAAGTGTGTACCTTCAGGATGATAGACAAGAGTGGTTGGATTTAGTCTCTGAAGACTACATGAATATATGTAAGTATCACCCTGAGCCTCATTAATATATATGAGTAACAATGTTAATAAGAATAATACCATAAAAAAGATACAGATAAAGTGGATCATTTTGATAAAAATCCAACAAAAATGGACAGTTTATGCAAATTAAAAGACATAATATGGGTTGGGGAAATAGTTGAATGATAGAACACTTTCCTGCTAGATACATGGCTATGAAAAAACAGTTAAGGCATGATTAAGTGCTTTATATTGTAAGAGAAATACAGATGGATTAGTGTGACATAGGAGATGTGATAGAAGACTGAACCATTTTGGAAACAGCAAAAGACACTTTCCTTTGAATTCCTGTAATGTGTGACTTGGTACAGAAAGGTGATTTATTTCATTACTATCTCCATAAATTAGGTAAGTATTAGGGTTCATCCTATTGTTCATGTAAGATACAGCGTGATGTCCAAGGAAAAGAGCACAAAATATAATTCAGGGAAGCAGGGTGGAAGACACACTCTTTCACTTTCCCCCAAAATTCAGTCTGCATAGGTTCAAACTATATAGGCAAAGGCATTTGAAAATGACTTGGTAGAATCCTTTCTTAGTTTTACTTTAGTATGCAGCAGCATTGCCAGTAATGAACACAAACCTCTCAACAAATGTGAGATTTCTCTAATATCCAAAGCAACATGTTTAGGAACACAGGCATGGTCCCATTATTGGACACCTACCTTCATTGTGCTTTCATTAGATGATCACTTTGGCCTTTGATGTTAACCTGTAAAATCTTCAAAGTCAAGGTAGCTATACATAATCAGTAACAACATCTTCATTTACTCTTTACAGTCAGCACTAGCCGTTCAATGGTTTCACATATTTTATTTACAATTGTAACTATAGCTCAATATTGTACACAATTAAGTACATAACAGTGAGTCACAACTTATGGAAATGTTTGTGAAAAAAGGCAGATCAAGGCATCCTATCTTTAGGGGCCTTCTAGTATGTTCTTGTCATGTTCAAAGTCCTTAGTGTTAGGCTTAACATGAGAATGGCAAAGGAAATAAGGGTTGGACATGAAAGTGAATTTAAATGTTGGATTCCATTTTTTCTGCTTCTGTTTCAGTGGGAGTTATTAAAATGTTATCAAAACACACATGTGTACAGGCAGGCAGGCATGCACGTAAGGCCAAGTTTTGGCTGGTGTCCAAAGTCTGTAGAGATCATCGAAAAAATCAGTCTGATTGTTCTCATCAGTGTGATTCCACTGTGGCCCTGCCTCAAATAATCCCTCAGCCCCAAGCCTATTAGGAGACATAGGCAAAGTACTACTGTAGAACAAGGAATTAGAAGTCTAGTGGCCAGTCCAGTGCAGGAGAAGGAGTTCCAGAGGGAGCCATTAAAATGTTGGCATTGCATAGGAAAGCATGTAAACATACAAAGGTCCATTATGGAAAAGTTCATCTTTGGTTTGCAGGCAAGGTTTCTAACAGCAAGAGAGAAAATGAATCATCTTAGACTGACTTCAATCAATTTTTTATTAAAACACATCAAACACAGGGCCAAAAGTCTTTCCAATGCTGATTTTGAAGCTTTTAAAAATTTAAAGGAGGTTCTAGTTGGTTCTGTGTATATTTGTCACCTGAATCAGACTTTTGAGAAGCCATAAAGGAATGAGACCTGTGCACTTGTTGTCCATCATGGAATCAGAGAGCAGTTAGAGGTCCCGAAGACAGGACACGTACCTTAGGAAATGTACATTAGGAAATGTATATCTTTTAACCATTTCCCCTTGTTCCATATATAATGGTTCTTTGTGGACAAATAGCCAGAACTAACTTTACCTGTAGGTAAATTGATAAACTGGTAAAATTGTTCTCACAGTGATAGTTCAAATAAGCAGAGTTTATTGGTCTTCTGAACAAGAACAGAATGAAGCAGTGTCCTGAAGTTGAAATAGCAAGTCTTTGTAAGTACTGCAAGGGTGATGAAATCTGACCCCAGAGATTCAGGATCAAGCAAACCCTTCACTCTAGCCTTTCTGTCTCAGTCATAATGTACAGTCTCAAATGAAAAGCAGCAGACATGAACAGGAAGAAAATCTATACATTGAACTTATAATTATGTAGCTTGCCAAAAATCCTAAGATTAATTAAGAATTTAACACAGAATGCAGGATCTCCAAAATGATGTATTAAACACATGAAATAATTGAGAGGAGCTTTTGAATCCATGCAATAGATTTTGCTTAGGAGGAATATTAATCACCACTGGAATATTTTTGTATAAATTAGAATTTAAGGAATAAAATAAGACCAGGACTAAATAGTGACTAGGAAGCATGAGCTGAGATTCCCTGAGAAAAGAAAGTGATATTGTAAAAGGAATTATCTAACTTTAAACTTATTTCCAAAATATAGGAAATAAAAACATAGTATTCACTAAAAATATTACTGAATAACTTTTATATGCCAAGCAGTCTTAGGTTATCAGATATGGAGAGAGTAAAATCCTTGTCATTGTGGTGCTTTCATGCCTGCAGGAAGATACAGGTATTTCACAAAAAAAACCCCACAAAATTAAGTAGATTATTTGAAGTGGTCAAAGTGGCATAGAGAGAAACAATTTAGGGCAAAGTACAGGAAGTAAGTTATAATCAATCTGCAACTTCTAAAATGACCTGAGAGGGAATGTTTGTTTAGCTCTTTGAAAGAAGAGGTGGCAAATAGTATTGTAGAAAGTCCAGTATGAAATTGAGTGGAAGTCTGTGCACCACGAAATCAGGAAGGCAACTATTTGTTAGTGACAGGAGGGCTGGAAGATTGAATCAGAGTCCAAATCACCAACCGTGAGTCAAGATTGAGTTGAGTTTAAATACAATTTGCAAACAAGAAGTACAAGACTGATGGCAAGTTATTACACGATTGGTTACACGAATGAAGTCATATGTTGTCAAGCAAGCTAATTCTACATGGGTTGACTTAAAATAATTTTTTTGTGATAAAGTGAGACCATTGTTGGAAGGAGAGGAGGGAGTTTGAGCCGAGCGAGTAGAGTGAAATGTGTCCTTGACTGGGC